TCGTAGAGCATATGCATATTTGTTTTATTGAATGTGTTTTCACGTTGATTTGTGTTATGTTTGTGTTTAAATTTGCATGTTATTTTCACCCGGATTGAATTATTAGCATTGGGACAAAAAATAGTTAATATTAGCCTTGAATTATTTATTTAATTTGCTGTTCATATGTATGTTATGTTTGTTGTTTTTATATGTAATAGTGGCTTTTTAGCGTAGTAGAATATATAGCCTTTTAGCGTAGTAAAATATATAGCCTTTTAGCGTAGTAAAATATAGAGCCTTGTTAGCGCAGAGTATCTGTAGTTTAAGTATGTACTAACTACAAACTCTATCCAATTACACTTTACAAAATTTATTATTTAATTTATAAAAATAAACTTACAAAACTAAAAAATTAATATATGTTGTCAAATTAACTCAAATATCGAGCATGGAACTCATAGATAATTACTCAGTCCTAATCAATAATTAATTATTTAATTTATTAAACTAACAAAATTCTAAAAATGTTGAAATTGACACACATAATAATTAAGGATAACTTGGTGCTACCGGGCCTCAAATATCGAGCCTAGAACCCATTGATAATTACTCAGTCCAATTTTAAAAATAATTATTTAATTTATTAAACTAACAAATTCTAAAAATGTTGAAATTGACACACATAATAATTAAGGATAACTTGGTGCTACCGGGCCTCAAATATTGAGCCTGGAACCCATAGATAATTATTCAGTCCAAATCAATAATTAATTATTTAATTTATTAAACTAGCAAAATTCTAAAATGTTGAAATTGACATACATAATAATTAAGGATAACTTGGTGCTACCGGGCCTCAAATATCGAGCCTGGAACCCATAGATAATTACTCAATCCAATTATAAAATTAATTATTTAATTTATTAAATTAACAAAATTATAAAAATATTGAAATTGACACACATAATAATTAAGGATAACTTGGTGCAACCAGGCCTCAAATATCGAACCTGGAATCCATTGATAATTATTCAGTCCAATTCAATAATTAATTATTTAATTTATTAAACTAACAAAATTCTAAAAATATTGAAATTGACACACATAATAATTAAGGATAGCTTGGTGCTACTAGGCCTCAAATATCGAGTTTGAAACTCATAGATAATTAATCAGTCCAATTAAATAATTATTTATTTAATTTATTATAACAAAAATACACAATTAATATTGTTTAAATTATAGTAGACGAAATAGACTTGCCTCCTGTGCATCCTGGACCAGCCGAGGATGAGCTATTATTGTTGCAGGGCGACCATAGGTCCTCCTATGTATGGGAGGGACATCTATCAGATCAGCCTCTCCGCGCCAGGAGACCTGACGATTTGTGGGACTTCTTGAGGGAGCATCATTTCCATCCCCGTGTAGTCAGGCTCCTACAGGCTACGGGCTTCTTTATAATTTTTCGGATTGGGCGGATGCAACTTGATTGGTCTCTCATCACGGTCTTGGTAGAGCGGTGGCGACCGGAGACACACACTTTTCACTTGCCCACTGGAGAGGCCACCATCACGCTTGAAGATGTTCAGGTTTTGTATGGGCTGCGCGTAGATGGACTGGCCATTGCACTGCCCCAGTACATGAGATCCATGATGCGTGCCCAGTATTTGGATTTGATGGGGCAGTATACTAGTTATAGACCACAGGGTGAGGCTGTACTTAGAGGGGGAAGTCGCGTTTCTTTGTCAGCTATCAGAGAGCATATGGAGGTATTGCACCCAGACATTACCGGCGAGACAGAGGCTATCCATATTGAGCGGTACACGAGGTTGGCGCTGCTCCTACTTTTTGGGGTGTCTTTTTCCCGAACACTTCGAGAAGTCTAGTGAGTATGCGCTTTCTGCATCATCTGCAGCAGCTAGATGATTTACCCCTGTACAGCTGGGGTATTGCTATTCTAGCATACATGTACAAGAGTATGTTCCAGGCGAGCATGCTTTGCCAGGTGAACATATGTGGTTTTCTGCCCCTTCTACAGGTGACAACATTTTTGAATACTCTGTTCATTACTCCGAATTCTATATGGTCGAAATGACTCTTAAATTTTACATTAACCTTTTATCTTAGGTTTGGGCCTGGCAACGGATCATGCCGTTGCAGCCACCTCTACCACCACTAGAGCAGGGTGAAGCACCTCCGTTTCTCCCTCTAGCTACGAGGTGGGTTCTCCGGCGTGGAGCTACCGAGGGACTGATGCTCATCATAATCTCTCCCTTGTCAGGGATGTGTTAGATATGCTGGTGGCTGGACAGGTAAATATGTACCTACACTTACTTGTTATAAATTGAGTTGTATTACGCATACTAACTTTTATGTTATTATTTGGTAGTTCATCTGGACGCCATACAAGGACGAGTTACTAGATCAGCTGCCCAATTATTGCTCAGTCGACCGACTACTTTGGAGCACTTCCGTCCCGATGATCTTCATCGATGTTATTGAGTATCATGCCACAGAGCATGTGCTTTGCCAGTTTCACCATCCCCAACCTATACCAGGGGAGCCTGCATGGGTTCCTATACATTATCAACAGGATAACCGTACTAGGGTGGATGATGCATTTATGGGATGGCTAGAGCAGCAGGTCCATATTTGGAACCAACGAGAGTATCGTATTCCGCCACCACCTTCACATATCCAGGAGGCCACTATTGAGCTGTATACATCATGGTACCGCCATCACACCTGATTGATGATCGGGAACCCCATTCATGTACTTGGCGAGCGCTACAGACCATACGCCGGGAGGCACGAGGCACTGGTATGTTTTTATGGCTTATTAATATCTTATAATTGTGATGTAGCGTTATTTAATTAATATTTTAAATGTTTCGTAGGCTATTGGGCATCACCTATTCTACCAGTTGGTACAGGAGATGCAGCAACATGGCGACAGTGCTGCACTCGTTGAGTATGGCCGACGGGTGGAAGAGCTGGCTCGTCGGACCCTATTTCAAGTGAGAGATGGCGCGAGATTGGATCACCAGGCTGAGTATGCGGCGCCAGAGGAGTACCATTGGGGTAGGGCTGTCCCACGAGGCAGAGGTAGGGCACGAGGCAAGGCTGTCCCACGAGGCAGGGGTGCCCCACGAGGTCGTGGGGGACGGCGAGGAGGTGGTCCCCAACAAGGGGGCGTTGAGGCACCTGTCGAACCACCTGTTAAGGCACATGATGAGGATCTTGGAGATGAGGATCTCAGAGATGCTCAGCCGGGTTATTGCCCTCACGTAGATGAGCTTTCCAGCAGCATGCCGTCATACAACCTTTAGCTATCTCTTCCAGCATCACATGTCACCCCGTCAGATGCATTGTTGATCACGGGTACATTCGACAAGGATGTAGACCAGTTCTTTTCAGGCCCATCTACCGCAACTGAGGATCGGACGACCTGGGATATGGATGACGGGCGCAGGTTGAGTTATGCCTCATCCCTGGTGGTTGATCCGGATCTACCACAGGTGTATGTATGTTTTTATTACTGTAAAATTTCAATTTGTTTTCTTTATTTCTTAATAATTTGCCATTAATTAATTTTTAATTTTCTTATTAAGGCTTCATCCCGGCCCATCACGGAGGTCGTTGTATGCGCTGATGAGGACACCACAGATGCATATACTCAGGAGGCCGACGAGACCACGGTGAGAAAATATTTTTGACTTAACACGTACAATACTAATATACATTCTCAAATTCTAAGCGTAGTACTTGTTTTGTAGGTTGCTGACGGCCCGACGGCCTCTTCTATCGATCCTGCTAGTTGTACTGTCGATGCTGCTGCGCATCCTCACATCAAGAGGTGACTTGATGATGATGATCCCAATAGTGTACCCGGGCGACAGGGGATGCGACTTAGGCCAGCAGCAGCACTGAAGCACACAGACTGCAGGACTCATTGATTTACTTATGTTTGTACTTTGTGTAAATAC